TTTGGCAATTCTGGGTCTTTTATGGTTCCATATAAATTTTAAGATTTCTAGTTCTGTGAAAAATGTCATGAGTAATTTGATATGGATCTCATTAAGTCTGTAGATTGCTTTGGGTAGTACGGCCATTTTAACTATACTAATTCTTCCAATCCAAGAGCATGGGATATCTTTCCATTTCATTGAATCATCTTCAATTTCCTTCGTCAATGTTTTATAGTTCTCAAGGTATACGTCTTTCACCTCCTTGGTCAGGTTTATTCCTAGGTTTTTTTTTTTTTGGACACTATTTTAAAAGAGATTTTTTTTTTACTCTCTCTTTCTGATATTGCGTTGTTAGTGCAATGAAATGCCAACAGATTTCTGTATTTTAATCCTGTATTCTGCTACCTTGCTGAATTCATTTATTAGTTCTAAAAGTTTTTGTGTGGAGTTTTTAGGGTTTTCTATATAGGGTATATCATATATCATCTGCATATAATGACAGTTTTACCTCTTCCCATCCAATCTGGATACCTTTTATTTCTTTTTCTTGACTGACTGATGTGGCTAGGACTATATATAATGAATCCCTAGTGATATTACCAATTCAAATTTATATAACTTCTTTGATTTTACATTTCCATATTTTAAGCTAAAAAAATCCAGGTTCCTAGTATTAAATACATAAATACTTATTTGCTCTATTCATATATAAGAATATATAGTTTCAGAATAAATATCAATCCTATATGATTACAAAAAGCAGTTAAAGATTTGTTTATACTTTTTTGTCCTTACGATATATCCCAATATAGATAATTAATCATACTGCCATATTTTAAAGTTTATTAAATAATTCCTTTCTATGTAGTTTAACCACAACAAGCATGATACACAGTAAGCGTCCTTTAATTACTTTTATTTTTAAGGATAGCCTCCCTCATGTTGATTTAGTTTTGTTTTACAATTACTTAAAACATTTACATGACTCAAAAATCAAACCTAATCACTAAAATTACATCTACTGGTAATGCAAAATTTATATTCACAGGCAGGGTCCTTAATATGGTATGATGGAATTTAAAATCAAACACAATACTATTTACATCACAAAGATGACAAGAAAAGAAGTTAAGAAATTACCTAAGACTACAGCTATGCAACAAGCCCACAGGATAAACAATACCGACTGGAGCAAGAGCACAACAAATATAAGATGAAGGTCTCTAGAGTAAAGAAATAGAACTGAAATTATCTGAGAAGTTTAACCAAGTAGAAAATCAGACAAAAGTAATTTAAAAGAACTGTAGGAAAGAGAAGACAGCCAGGAATTAGAAGAAAGCCAAGCAGTTAAAAAATGAGACAATTAACCCCAGGAAAAAACAAAGTATTAAGAAAGGAAATGTAGGGCTTCCCTGGTGGCGCAGTGGTGGAGAGTCCGCCTGCGGATGCAGGGGACACAGGTTCATGCCCTGGTCCAGGAAGATCCCACATGCCGCGGAGCGGCTGGGCCCATGAGCCATGGCCGTTGAGCCTGCGCGTCCGGAGCCGGTGCTCCGCAAAGGGAGAGGCCACAACAGTGAGAGGCCCGTGTACCACAAAAAAAAGAAAAGAAAAGAAAAGAAATGTAACCACAGTATACTATTCAGCTCAGCAGTGAATTCTTACATATTGTAATGTAACTCTACACTAGGAAGATACACAGGTAAGGGAAAAGAGTGGTTTAAGAGCTTAAATCCTCACCTACTATAACAGAACATCAATAGATAATACTTTAAATTGATAAAGGCATATAACATACACATATTACTCAGAAATGTAGCAGTATAAACCACGTTGAATAGCTGAGAGGTTGAAAGTGGTTTACTTGGGAATGAGACCAAGAACACTGCTGGTCTGGTTTCAAGTATTTTAGGACTATTTAATTTTTTCAACTATGTACATGTATTATTCAGAGAAAAATAGGTTGGTTTGTTTTCATCTGCTTCTTTGACCAGTTTTATTAAGAAATAACTGACATACATCACTATATAAGTTCAAGGTATACAGCATGATGGTGTGATTTACGTATATTGTGAAGTGACTACCACAACAGGTTCAGCTAACATCCATCTTCTCATATAGATACAATAGAAAGAAAGAAAAAAAATTATTCATCTTTCCTATATATATCATACACCAGTGTTAGCTACAGTCATGTTGTACATTACCTCCCTCATACTTATTTATCTTATAACTGGAAGTTTGTACCTTTGGACCACCTTCCTCCAATTCTCCCTCCCCCAATCTTTTTCTATGAGCTTGGGTATCATTGTTTTTTGTTTTTAGATTCCACATACAAGCATGTGTCTTTCTCTGTCTGGCTTATCTCACTCCACATAATGCCTTCAAAGTCCATCCTTGTTGTCTCAAAAAAATAGGTTGTAAAAAAGACAAAAACGGCCAAAATAATCATGATTTGTATACCATGTACACACTACATGTTGACTGAAATTGTAAACAAGTTATTCAGTGGGAAAAGTTGGCTGCCCACAAGTTTTATCAACTTGCTTACTTCACAAAATATTTCTTGTAACTAAAAACATCAATCAAGCCTCCATTCTTTATCACTATGGTTTTTACAAATTTTTTAGCATCATTATGTTACCTACACACATTGAGTTAGCAAGAGTCTGCTTAATTCAAAATATTTTAATAGTAAATGCAAATTTCATCTTTTTATACATAAAAAATTATAAAACTGCCTCAATCAGAATGACATCAACTAGTAAAATTTTTGCCAAAAAATAAATTTTAGTTTGGTCTGCTGGTGTCAAATAAATAAAGGTCATTTATACAGTGCTGCCTAAATAACAAATATTAAGTGCTAGTCTGCTGAAAGGAAAGCTCTAAAAGATGCAGTTATCTTTTGTGTACTCGGCAGCATCAATTCCTGTACTACCCTCGAATCTAGCTGCACAGCTGGCCTAAGCCCGTGACTTTTCCAGATAGATGACTAAGCAACTGTGGAAAGATAAACAGTACCTAAATGAATCTGTATATTACTGATGTTTACTATTTTACAAATTAGGTGTGAAACAAGTACTGCTGTGATATTAAGAAGCCTGATTTGCTTTACAGTTCTCCTTACATAACATGGCACATATGAAACAACAAAATTAAGATTTTAAATAGAGCAATATTCCAGAAACTTATCACAGAAACCTATTAAAGCCCTAGCAGTTTCAGACTCATACAATGAAGATGACAGTACTTCAACTACAAATGTTTTTAGTCAGATAAGTGGGGCCATACTTGCGACCTGACAGAGCATCTGCCTTCAGGCAACTGAATATGAAAAACTTACTTTTTGTTTATATACATTTTACAATGAAGTCTAATAACATGAATTCCCTGTCACCAAGAAGAAACAGTATAAAATAAACATTGTTAATGTCAGACTGTCATTACTACATCTTCAAATGGCTTTATGCCAAATATAATGTATAAGCTAGTGGTTATATTCAGACCTATACTTGTGCTTGTGTGTGTACATACATGTATTCACATTTACATGTAAATATAAAATAATGCTGTTGTAATACCTGAAATTTACCCCCAAAATAGAAGCTAAATAAAAGCTCATGCAAAGAAAAGGTTCCACTTCGAATAAGACACAGAGATGAATAAAGATGCAACAAGAAACCAAGAGAAACTCATCCTTTTATGAATAAATGATTGCTTTCAAAGACAGTAAAGCAGAATGTTAAGAACTCATAACTTAATTTGCTGCATTTAATATAAACTCTATCACAATATTACAAACTCATTGCCCTCCCACCAATAGTAATAATGATAAAGTGATTCAAACATCTACAGCCCAAATAAAACACTGAGGTTGTAATGCACTCCTGGACTTCAAATAATTGGATTATCTAGTGCAGTGTTACCCCAAAGAACAGTGTATGTTGAATAACTCACTATAACTGTAAACTGTTTATAACAAATTGCCTTATTTCTCAGGTATGAAGGATTCTGACTCATTCACTTGCCTTTTATGGAGCTTTCATAGTGTGGGGGTCAAATGGTCCTTCCAAGCTCAAGCCCTAGCAAAAAGAGTCACCTAAGTGTTCTCCCTTTAAATTTTCTTGCCAAAAGGGATGGACCATTTGTCCTAAGTGTTTTTAGAGAAAGGTAAAGTGAAGGTGAGTCTCAGATTCCCCTGTAGACATTCTCAGGTTAAAAATGATCAAAAATCCTTGTCCTAAATGTCCTTATGAATAATACAAAATTCAGGGGTGAAAAGACTTATTCCTTGAAATTTTGTTTAAAATACTACCTAATAAAGAAACATAAAGATAGAAAGACACAAAGCAAGTACAGCAAACTGTTAATAATTACTGAACCCAAAGGGTGGGTTTATGAGGTTCATTATCCATTCTTTATTTTTGTACATGTTTATAAACTTTCAAATTAAAATTGAGAATGAAAAGCAATGTTCTGTTGGTCACTTGAGAATTCATTAATAAACACATAAAATCTTAAAGAAGTTGGAGCTCTAGAAAAATAAAACAAATAGGTCAAATTTTTTTTTTTTTTTTTTTTGCAGTACGCGGGCCTCTCACTGTTGTGGCCTCTCCCGTTGCAGAGCACAGGCTCCGGATGCACAGGCTCAGTGGCCATGGCTCACGGGCCCAGCCGCTCTGCAGCATGTGGGATCTTCCTGGACCGGGGCATGAACCCGTGTCCCCTGCATAGGCAGGCGGACTCTCAACCACTGTGCCACCAGGGAAGCCCCAAAATATTAAATAGTAGTTGGGAACATGAGAACCTGAGAGATTTCTTCATTCTTGTATTCTGCTTTTCATTACCTCCACTCCCCTACCCCTAAAACACGTTGATTTTATAGTTGGGAGGGGGATATACACCACACAAACATATATATTAAACATTGTTAAAATTAAAATACAGGACAGTGCTGTCAGGATTAAAAAGAAACATTAAGTTCTTTAAGAGAAATTAATTAAGGGTAAAGGACTTACTTGCTCTTCTCTTTTCTGCTTACGTAACTGCAGTCCTTCTTCCTCTCTCCTTCTGCGCATCTCATCAGGATTCAGGGACTTATTTTTGTAACTTTTCAGGCGAAAGTTCTCTCTTCCTGGGGTAGTCATGACTTCTACAAAAATAAGAGGGAGGGAGGGAACAGATGAGCTCAGCTGACTATAAAGAGCTCTGTTACTTCAATAGCTCAATCTTTTAAACATATATATGCTCAGACCCACCCCACAGGAATGTCAAATGGTTACTTTAACAGCTTTATTAAAGTGTACAATTCAGTGTCTTTTAGTATATTCACAATTATGTGCAAATCAACACCACTGTAAAGTTTTAAACATTTTCACCACCTCAAAAAGCTATCGTTCCTATTCGGGATACTTCATGTGAATAGAATACATGTGATCTTCTGTGCCTGGCTTCTTCAACTAAGCACAGTATTTTCAAAGTTCATCCATGTTGCAGCATATATTAGTACTTTATTCCTTTTTTCGGCTGAATAATATCATCCCATTGTATGGAGATACTCCATTATATTTATCCACTCATCAAATGATGGACATTTGGGTTCTTTCCACTTTTGGGCTATTATGCCTAGTGCTTCCATAAACACTTGTCGACAAGTTTTTATGCAGACTTATGTTTTCATTTCTCTTGGGTATATACCTATACACTCTGTTTAATCATTTCAGGAGCTGCCAGACTATTTTTCCAAAGTGGCTGCACCATTTTACATTCCTATCAGCAGTATACAAGTGTTGCCAATTTTTCCATATCCTCACCAACACCTGCTATCACAACTTTTTTTAAACTGAAATACAGCTGATTTACAATACTGTATTAGTTTCAGGTATAGAGCAAAGTATCACAACCTTTTGATTCTAGTCATTCTAGTGGGATAGATGTCTTTTAACATATTTATTTGCCAACTACATATCCTCCATAAAAAATGTCTATTCAGATTCTCTGCCCATTTTAAAACTGTGTTGTCTTTTTACCATTGAGCTGTTAAGAGTTCTTTAGATAGAAGTCCCTGTCAGATACATGATTTGTTAATATTTTCTTCCATTTTATAGGTTGTCTTTTCACTTTCTTGATGGTCAAATCTACTGTTAAAACCCTCTCATGGGGCTTCCCTGGTGGCGCAGTGGTTGGGAGTCCGCCTGCCAATGCAGGGGACACGGGTTAGAGCCCTGGTCCGGGAGGATCCCACATGCCGCGGAGCAAGTAGGCCTGTGCGCCACAGCTACTGAGCCTGCGAGCCACAACTGCTGGGCCCGCGCGCCTGGAGCCCGCGCTCCGCGGCGGGGGAGGCCACCGCAATGAGAAGGCCGTGCACCGCAATGAAGAGTAGCCCCCACTGGCCGCAGCTAGAGGGAGCCCACGCGCAGCAACGAAGACCCAATGCAGCCAAAATAAATTAATTAATTAAAAAAAAAAACCCTCTCATGAATTTTGAAGCACCAAAAGTTTTTAATTTTGATGGAATCCAAATTAACCAATTTCTTTTTCTGTTGCTCAATGCTTTTAGTGCCATACTTAGGGATTCTTAACCCTCAGTTTCCTTCTAAGAGTTCAAGAGTTCAACCTCTTACATCTAGGTTTGTCATCCATTTTGAGTTAATTTTTCTATGTGGTTTGAGGTAAAGGTCCAACTTCATTATTTTGCATGTGGCTATCAGTTGTTCCAGCACTACTGAAAAAACTATTCTTTCTCTATTGTACAGTCTTGACACTCTTGTTGAAAATCAGTCTATCACATATTTATAGTTTTATTTCTCAACTTTCGATTCTATTCCCTTGATCCATATGTGTATCCTTGTGCCAATTCCACACAATCATCTTTTTTGTAGTAAGTTTTAAAATCAGGAAGTATGAGTCCTATTTTATTCTTTTTCAAGATTGTTTTGACTCACCTTGATACACTGCTATTCCATGTGAATTTTAGAATCAGTTTGTCAATTCCTAAAAAGAGGTCAGCTGGGATTCCAATATGAACTGCACTGAATCTGTAGATCAATTTGGGGAGTATTGCCACCTTAAATGTTAAATCATCCAACCCATAAATGCAATTTTTTTTTTTACTTAGATCTTTAATTTCTTTCAACAATGTTTTGTAGTTTTCAGAGTGTTCTACACTTCTTTTGTTAAATTTACTCCTAAGGTTTTTTTTGGCAGTACGCGGGCCTCTCACTGTTGTGGCCTCTCCCGTTGTGGAGCACAGGCTCCGGATGCGCAGGCTCAGCGGCCATGGCTCACGGGCCCAGCCGCTCCGTGGCATGTGGGATCTTTCCGGACTGGGGCATGAACCCATGTCCCCAGCATTGGCAGGCGCACTCTCAACCACTGCGCCACCAGAGAAGCCCCTAAGTATTTTTTAATGCTATTGTAAATGGAATTATTTTCTTAATTTCACTTTTGGATTGTTCATGACAAATCCATATAAATACAATCGATTTTTATACATTGATTTTTGTATCCTGCAACCTTGCTGAACTGAACTTGTTTATTAATGCTATTTTATTAGTGCATTCTTTAGGATTTTCTACATACAAGATCATGTCATCTGCCAGAGATAGTTTTTTTTTGTTTGTTTTTTTAAGATGATGTTGGGGACAGGAGTTTAATAATTTATTTATTTATTTTTGCTGTGTTGGGTCTTAGTTTCTGTGTGAGGGCTTTCTCTAGTTGTGGCAAGTGGGGACCACTCTTCATCGTGGTGCGCGGGCCTCTCACTATCGTGGCCTCTCCCGTTGCGGAGCACAGGCTCCAGACGCGCAGGCTCAGTAGTTGTGGCTCGCGCACACAACCTAGCCACTCCATGGCATATGGCATATGGGGGCCTAGCCACTCCATGGCATATGGGATCCTCCCAGACCAGGGCTTGAACCCGTGTCCCCTGCATTAGCAGGCAGACTCCCAACCACTGCGCCACCAGGGAAGCCCTGCCAGAGATAGTTTTGCTTCTTTCAAAACTAGTAACCTTTTTTGTTTTAAAGTCTAATTTTTCTGATATTAGTATAGCCACTCCAGCTTCCTTTTGGTTGCTACTTGTTTATCTTTTCCCATCCTTATACTTTCAGTGTATTTGTATCTTTAAACTTGAAGTATGTCTCAGGGAATTCCCTGGCAGTCCAGTGGTTAGGACTCTGCGCTTCCACTGCAGGGGGCACGGGTTCAATCTCCGGTCAGGGAACTAAGATCCCACATTCTGAGGCGGCCAAACATACATAAATAAATAAAGTATGTCTCTTATAGAGAGCCTATAGTTGGATTCAGCCTCACAATTTCTGCCTTTTTAATTAGACTGTTTAATCAATTCATATTTAGTGTTATTACTGATATAGTTGGAGTGATGACTGCTTTTCCATTTTTCATTTTCTGTCTCATGTCTTTCATTCCTTTATTACTCTTTTACTGCTTTCTTTTGCATTGATTTTCTAATGAAGCACTTAAATTTCTTTAGTGATTTTTTTCACTGTATTTTTTTAGTTTTTTCCCCCCAGTAGTTGCTCAAGGGCTTACCACACACTTTCACTTAGAATCAGCTTCAGACTTACACTAGCTTAATTCCAATGAGATATAGAAATGTTATGCTATATAATTCTATTCCCTTCCCCCCCATTTTATCATATTGTTGTTATACATGTTAATGTTACAAATCCAACAACACATAATTATTACTTTATCATCTACAGTTACTTCCTTAGCTTAAGATAGTTTTGCTCCCACTCACCTCCTGAGCTGTTATTAGCAGATACATTTCAAATACATTACATTTCTATAGGCCCAAGAATTCATTACGGCAAGTCCCCTACACACAAATTTTCAGGTTGCAAACTTTCAAAGATGTGAACGTGCGTTCGCATGTCTAATCATGTAAGCTAGTTCATGTGTCTGGTGTAAATTGTCACGTGTATGCATCCTCTACAAGTGGTTGTGCTTTTGTATACTTTACTGTACAGTACTGCATACAGTACAGTGGTACAGTATCTTTATTTCAAGCCCAGGATGTCCAGAAGCAAGCATAAAAGCAGCGGTGATGTAGCTGGTACCACTAAGAAGCGCCAAGCAATAACAATGGAAACAAAAGTAAAAATACTGAGAGAGTGGAGCAAAAAGAGGAAGAAAAAGTAACTGAAGAACCGAAGAGATTCATGACGCAGGAAACGGCAAGGGCATTTTCTTTATTTGAAGAGGCAGTTAGTTTTTGAGGCACATCACCCAAATGTAGAACAGTACACGAAGGTTGCAGCAGCTGTTCAGAATGCAATCCACTGCTACCATGTCACCTAGGATGAGGAAAAAAAGAGCTACCCAGACATCACTGGGTCGTTTCTTCAAGAGGGAAGATAGAACTGAATCCAGCAAGGAATCAGAACTTGTGCCATAAACGTCAGGTGTGAGTGAAATTGCAGCTTGCCCTCCTTCTCCTATTGCTGATAATCCTTCAGCTCTACCATTCCCCATCTCCTCTCCCTCCTCCAGTCAGTAACTCTTCTTGCCTGTTCACTCAATCAATGCCAGCCCCTGTATGCCAGCTGTGGTATTGTGCTACTGTACTTTTCAAGGTACTGTACTGGAAGATTAAAAATGTTTTCTTTTTTTGTTTTTTTATGTATTACTTGTGTGAAAAGTATTATAAGCCTATTACAGTACAGTACTATATAGCTGATTGTTAGTTGGGTACCTAGGCTAACTTTGTTGGACCGATGAACAAACTGGACTAACGAACATGCTCTTGGAACAGAACTCATTCGTATGTAGGGAACTTACTGTATATACATTATTTTACACAACTGCTTTTTAAATCAGTTTTAAGAAAAAATGACAAAAATATATGTGGTTATACACTCTCTTTTAAAATTACATCATTACCTTTACTGGTGCTCTTTGTTCATGTGGATTGAATTTACCATCTGCGGTCACTTGCTTTCAGCCTAAAGAACTTCCTTCCCTTAGCCATCTTGCAAGGCAAGTCTGCTAGTAACAAAGTCTCTCAGTTTTTGTTATCTGCAAAGTATTTTACCTTCATTTTTAAAGGACAGCTTTACTGGATATAAAAAAATTGGGGTTAACAGTATTTGTCTCTGAGTACTTGGAATATATTGGGTTGGCCAA